GCCGCCGAGGTGGTCCTCGCCTGCGATAGGAGGTCTCCACTGAGCGCCTGGCCAGAAGAGAGCGACCGATACAGGGCCCCCGTGATGAATGCCATGTTGTTTGCCAATGCGACGACCTGTGCCGCATTGGCATAAAATCTATACAGCATAGCCAAAGACATCCTGTCCCGCTCGGAAGGAGAGGTCTGGTGCCGGGCCACACGGATGCGGAGGGCTGCAGGGCCATGCGGACTAAATCCTCGGTGTCCGGGACACCACCGGTCCAGGACCAGTCCTGCACGCTGCAATACATGCCGTACCCCAGAGCAGGCCTCTTGGCTGCTAGGGGCTTTGGCCACTCACGTGTTGCGTAATGGATGATCGGGTCCATCCGCGGGCACAACGTGGGTTGTATCCTCCTCCTCCCTCGAGAGGTGGCGCCCACAGAGGTGAAGTCCTCCACCCTCTGGATTGGCTGCGATGGCAGAGGAGCATCCATGATGGCCGCCGCGGAAGAGTAGAGCCCAGGCATGTGGTCCAGAGGAAAGCGGTCCGGCTCCGGGTTCGAAACCACCTCGTCCAGGGTGAGGAGAGAGCCGATCTCCGAATCCTCTTCGTCCTCGCAGTCACCCCATTCCGCGGGCAGGGGCGGAAGGTCGAGTGGGGCCCAGTCAATCTCAGACTCCTCGTTCTGAGAGGAGTCCGGACGGGGCGCTGCAGCGGCGAGGAACGCACGCCTGCGTTCGCTCTTCTCCCTGGGGAGAGCGAGACACGAGGCGCAGCTAGCGCTCAACACCGCATGGCCCGGGCCCAGGCACATGAAGCAGCTGGCATGCTGGTCCGTGCGCTGGAGCCTGACTCGACACGCCGAGCAACGACGACGTCCGACGCCGGAGGGCGAAGGGGAACTCGGACGAACAACGGAAGACATCTCTCAGAATGAAGTGAGTACTGTGGTAGATCTCAATCGGCGCTAGAGTGAAAGAGGGGGAGCGGCTATGGAGCAGGGGCCTTTATAGAGGAGGGTCGCTAGTGATTGGAGCATTTTTTGTTGATCTCTCTGGCGTCTGTGACCTGGGGGTCACGTGATATCCCACTAGAGAAGTCCGCTAAGGGACGTAGCACCATGACGTAGAATTACGATTATTTGGGATTTTGATAAAAAAAAAAAAAAAGGGTCAGGAGTAAACTTTGAGGATAAGGGTTTCTGGGAATTTGGAATAGTCTTTCTAGAAATGTCATAAACGTTTGCACAACATTGAATAGTAATAATAATAATTCCTTTTTTCCTTATATTCACATTCCCACAAAACCTCAGAGAACATTGGAACGTCATTCTTTCTGCATTTCATATTGTGTCCAGTATTCTAAATGGTTTTGTGTTTTATTTCTGGGAGATCTGGGGGAAATGAATCTAAATGGTTTCCCTGTACTGGAAAACTGGCACCCCTTATGGAGTATTGTATTTTTAAGGTTTTGGGGATTTTTTTATTGTTTTTTTTCTGAAACGTGCAACACACATTTTTTTTATTTGCATAATAGATAGTAAGTAAGTAATTAAGTAAGTAAGTAATATTTATTTCTTGATTATATAGCACATTTTTACAGAAGCTTTACAATGTTCAGATCATGTAACCATTTCATGTAACCACTCTCGCCTCTCAGCAAGAAGGTCCTGGGTTCGAATCCCGGTTGGACCAGGGCCTTTCTGAGTGGAGTTTGCATGTTCTCTCCGTGTCTGCGTAGGTTTCTTCCGGGTGCTCCGGTTTCCCCTACCACTAAAAATATGTACAATAGGTCTGGCATGTGCCTCCTGTACTGGCACCCCTGCTCCCAAAAAAAAAAAAAATAACAATTGTAAACCGCTTTGAGACTCCGATGTGCAGTGAAAAGGCGGTATATAAATAAAGATTACTTACTTACTTACTTACTTACTTGTTTTCTAAAGTAAAACCAATTATTTCCAGAGCATTGCAGACAAAATATCTCTCCTTTTTTTTTTTACACCGACTTTTTGTGTGTGTGTCTCCGGTCCGCATGTGTGTGTTCTCTTGTTGTGGCCTGTTGAGTGCCATATAGGTTTGGCCACAGCTGTCCCGGTCCCATCGGAGGCGTTTTCACAGGAGGAGTGTGCAACATTACCACGCCATGCTGCCAGACCCCAGGGGACCCTCGCCTCTCTGCTGCACACACACACACCCATATAGAAGCGCATCACACATATTCACACAATACTAAAATAACACAAATTCACACGTTTACACAAAGAAAGAGCAGAAGTAACGTGGTGGGTGCAGCTCTGTAGGCATGTATAGAGTGAGCAGACATTTCTCACTTAGATGTACAGTTTTAATTGACTCCACTTGGCAAAGGCACTCTGTGGGGAAAGAAGTGAAGAGCAGAAGGGAGGAGGCAGATATAGGTGTGGTGGGAGTGAGAGAAGCACGGCTATATCTCCCGCTAAAGAAATAACGCAGAGAGAAAAACATGTTTTTGTTATATTCGTACAGGCCAATGAGCTAATCGACCTGGCACAAGTCGTCCACAGCACTGCACTGGTTTTGGGATCAGGATGAAGAATTAAGAAGAAGTTTTGAATTGTTTCTGCCGACAATAACATAGCGTTCTATTGTAAAATACTTAAAACTTACGTGGCGCTTTTCACCCAAAATACTTAATATGTCATTATGCATTCACTCATACTCTGTGGTGGTAAATGAGGCGACATAAACCATACATGCCATAAAATCCTTTGACCACCACTAATCATCCAACAGACTAGTTAGTAAGTTAGTATGAGTTAAGTGCAGCCAAACCAGTTTTTTTCCAGAGGTCTCCCATCACAGCACAAATCAGGCTCTCACATTCTTGACATAAAGAAGCTATACCCGATTTTTTTTTTGAAGTACTACTTTTTGAAGTAGTTTATAAAAATGCTTTTTACTACATACAAGTTGAATCATAATACATAATTTAATTGAAAACTTGAGGTCATTGATTCCACTGTGTATGAAATTCAGGCAGTGAAAAGTGCTGAGTAGAGTCTGAGCGGGCCGCTCATTCTCCTCTCACAGAACGAGCAGTGAACAGCCTGCGTCCTCTAGCCTCTACAGCCTGCGTCCTCTAGCCTCTACAGCCTGCGTCCTCTAGCCTCTACAGCCTGTGTCCTCTAGCCTCTACAGCCTGCGTCCTCTAGTCTCTACAGCCTGCGTCCTCTAGTCTCTACAGCCTGTGTCCTCTAGTCTCTACAGCCTGTGTCCTCTAGTCTCTACAGCCTGCGTCCTCTAGCCTCTACAGCCTGCGTCCTCTAGCCTCTACAGCCTGTGTCCTCTAGTCTCTACAGCCTGTGTCCTCTAGCCTCTACAGCCTGCGTCCTCTAGTCTCTACAGCCTGTGTCCTCTAGTCTCTACAGCCTGTGTCCTCTAGTCTCTACAGCCTGTGTCCTCTAGCCTCTACAGCCTGTGTCCTCTAGTCTCTACAGCCTGTGTCCTCTAGTCTCTACAGCCTGTGTCCTCTAGTCTCTACAGCCTGTGTCCTCTAGTCTCTACAGCCTGTGTCCTCTAGCCTCTACAGCCTGCGTCCTCTAGTCTCTACAGCCTGTGTCCTCTAGTCTCTACAGCCTGTGTCCTCTAGCCTCTACAGCCTGCGTCCTCTAGCCTCTACAGCCTGTGTCCTCTAGTCTCTACAGCCTGCGTCCTCTAGCCTCTACAGCCTGTGTCCTCTAGCCTCTACAGCCTGCGTCCTCTAGTCTCTACAGCCTGTGTCCTCTAGTCTCTACAGCCTGTGTCCTCTAGTCTCTACAGCCTGTGTCCTCTAGTCTCTACAGCCTGTGTCCTCTAGCCTCTACAGCCTGTGTCCTCTAGTCTCTACAGCCTGTGTCCTCTAGTCTCTACAGCCTGCGTCCTCTAGTCTCTACAGCCTGTGTCCTCTAGTCTCTACAGCTTGTGTCCTCTAGTCTCTACAGCCTGCGTCCTCTAGCCTCTACAGCCTGTGTCCTCTAGTCTCTACAGCCTGTGTCCTCTAGTCTCTACAGCGCTGCTTAACACTAGGGCTTCGACTTCAAAATTCGAATATAATTCTAAAATAAAAAAAATATATATATTCAAACAAATATTAGACAGCCCTTATAATTCGAAATGTATTTAATGACTGCAAATAAAATAGTTAGCTCCCAAAGGTTTCACCGGGACGTGCTAGGCAGGTAACAGCTAAGCTAGCTAGCTGCTTCATGGTAACTTCCGGGATTTTCGCGATCGCTTTTTGTCACTTTAAAACAGTATTTTTGTCATGAAAACGTTGACAGCAAATTCTGAAATCATCCGTGCATGTGTGTTAAGGATGTATATGTATACAGTATTGTCCGATTAACGTTTAATGGTGTTGATTGATTGATATGTATTTGTTTTTGAGCGTGGCTAGCTCCGCTAGCTTCTCTACACAGATAAGTGTGCAGAGAAACTGATCGGAAAAAATGATCGGAAGAATTGCATTCAAGTCAATGGAGTGTTCTACTGCTGCTGTGAGGAGCTGTATAATAATTTATAATTAATATAATATTAATATAATCAGTGCAGCACTGAGACTGCTGCACTGAGACTGCTGCACTGAGACTGCTGCACTGAGACTGTGGCACTCAAGCTAAAGGAAAACGCTGTAAACTGATCAATATGCCGAAATCAGGAAAAGCGGAGACGAGGCAGCAGGCAGAGGCGGCGGAGGAAGAATTGGTTAGCCTTAGCCGAGTGTGTGAGCTACTGGAGCACCAGAAGGATACATTCAAAGAACTACTGCACCAGCAACAAGAAAACTTTAAAGGATTTATCAAAATAATCATGGAATCAACAAACACTCGCATGGACACAATAACTAAGGATATTCAAGAACTCAAAACAAGCCTGCAATATACGCAAGGGGAAGTGGACAGTCTCAAGGAAGCACACACAAAACTTACCGAACACAATAAAACACAGCAAACGGAGTTTTACAAACTATGTGACAGTCTGCTAATATTCACGGACAAAATGGAATACCTGGAGGGGCAGAGCCGCCGGAACAATCTGGTGTTTGAGGGGGTGTTGGAGTCTCAGGGGGAGTCCTGGGCCGACGCGGAGGCGAAAGTCAAAAAGATCCTGACTGAGAAGCTCCAGCTGCCGCCGACCGTGGAGCTGGAGCGGGTACACCGCGTCGGGAGACCTGACGGGGAGAGATCACGACCTCGACCCATTGTGGCGAAGCTACTTCGCTGGAAGGACCGGGACACTATCCTACACCGCGCGAAACAACTTAAAGGAACGAACATATACATCAATGAGGACTACACAGATGCAGTGAAAAGGAAAAGAAAAGAACTGATGCCAGAGTTGCGAGCCGCGAGGGAACGGGGGGAAATAGCATTTTTAAGATACGACAAACTGATAGTTCACCCGCGCACCACCAGCACACCGAACCAAGGCAGATAAACAGGACATTCAGCATAACCCCGGTATGCTCGCACTTTTTTCCTCATGGCCACTAACACATCACACACAACAGGACATTTTGCTTTGGATCATTCACTCAGGACGATCATAGAAACATTAGACTTGGACTACACTTTCGCCCAATACGAAACACAGAACACTGATATAGACATCGACCCGGACACGAACTTTTTTACAGGACCCAACAACAACTGTCAATATTACACTGAACACCGCTTCAACAGTCAAATCATCAACAATAACGCATTCTCCATCATCCATTTCAATAGTAGAAGCCTATATGCTAACTTCAATCACATCAAACAGTATTTAAGTCATTTTACAAAACCATTTACAATCATCTTATTAACTGAAACATGGATTCACAAGGACAGGGAAACAGAATTTTACATAGAGGGGTATGATTTCATCAGTAAAAACAGATTAAATTAAAGCCGCAAGCGGCATCTAACGGCCCTCGCCGCACCGCGCAAAGGAGGTGGCGCTGACGCGCCATTTTTTTGCCCCCCCGATGGGAGCGACACTGTGTGTTTTGAATTACTATGATCAGTGATTGTGTGTGTCTTTGAAAAGGTAAACCTCATTCTCCCCATGTAATACTTGGATAAGTCTGTAGGGGGCGCTATTGCTGCAATTTCATGATTCACACTTTCAGTTAACTCAAACCCAAGAGTTGAACAGTCAATTCAAATTTTGTGCAAATCGGACTTTGTATGTGCAAATGGAGGCATTTAATGTTTAAAAATAGCGCCCCCTGCAATTTAATTTTTTTAATGTTATACCAAAGAACACCAAAATAATACACTTTATGCCTGAAAAAAACTTCTGGCAAAGTTTGGTGATTTTTTATGTTTGTTATGTGGGTCAAATATGAGATCAAACAACATAAAACCTAAATACCTGTATCCCCATGTAAACCTTTACTCAGCCTGCAGGGGGCGCTAATCGGCAAATGTCATTGTTCAAACTGTCATGTGACCTAGGCCCAGGAGTTGAACAACCGAGTCAAGTTTAGTGCAAATCAGAGTTTGTGTATGTGCAAACAGGAGCACATATAATCTGTGAGTGTGTCCACACACAGTCTCCATTGGATAACATGAGATTTTCACACCTCTCTATGAAAATAACCACACTTTGGGAGTCTGTCACCTTCAGACCGTTTGACTAATTCAAACTCTATATGCAACTATTGATGGTCCATGTGTTGAGACGATGTGGAGCGATTTTCAGACAAATTAGGGAAACGGCCGCGGCTGGTTTGATGTTTGAGCAAGGTGTACTTTTCGGAGATTTAACGATTTTCTCATAGACACAGACAGGGGAGTGTTGGTCGTCGCCACGGCAACAGGGTAAAAAATAATCATATGTTGTCATTGACTTTTTGAATCCAGATGACGAAACAGAATTATGTGCAAAATTTCAAACATTTTGATAAAACTACATTTTATTAGGCCCATGTAAAACTTTGACATAGTCTGTAGGGGGCGCTAATGAGTCAATTTCAATATTTCAACTTTCAAATGACCTAGACCCTGGAGCTGAACAATGGATTAAAATTTTGTGCAAATCTGACTATTTTTGAGCAAATGGGAGCAAATTTGCTTTTGTCAAAAATTGGGAAAAAAATGTCACATTTTGCCGCTCCGCTGCTCGGACAACGTTTAACTGATCCACATTCTATATTCAATAATAGATGGGACATGGGTTTAGACCATGTGGAGCGATTTTGAGACAAATCTGTGAAACGGCCGAGGAGGAGATAATTTCCAGCCGACATGTGTGAAAAAGATCAATTTTCATTTTTCCATTTTCCAATTAAATGAATAAGCTTCCTGTTTGTCAGGGGGCGGAGCCATAATAACTTTTTTTTCATGCCTTGACCTGAGGAACATGTGTACCGAATTTTGTGGCTCTACGACAAACTTGACCTCCGACCCCCTCCCATAGGCGCAATGTAAACTGACTTTTGTAGGGGGCGCTGTTCTGGTATTTTTTTAGTCCCATAAAAATAAACACCAAAAAAATTAATTTTTCGCCGGTTCTGAATTTTGGGCAAAATTTCACAACTTTTCATCAATGTTCAGGGGGTCAAATTAAGGTTCAAAGTGCAGAAGAAAAAAGAAATAAATAAATTAAAGCCGCAAGCGGCATCTAACGGCCCTCGCCGCACCGCGCAAAGGAGGTGGCGCTGACGCGCCATTTTCCTACCCCCCTGACGGGAGCGACACTGTGTAATTTTGGGGAAAAAATGTATGTTGTACATAAGCAACGCCAAAAAAACCCTCACATTTAGCCGCACCGCTGCTCAAACAACGTTTGCACTGATCAAAAATCCTGAACGTCATTTGAAGGTAAAAGTGTTAGATGTGTTTGTGTAACAATTTTGAGGCCAATCATTGGGGAAACGCCGAGGAGGAGTCGCTGTCCAACCAACGTGGTATGAAGATAGATTGGATTCTTTTTTCCATTTTGCAGTGAAATTTATTGGGCTCCCTGTTTGTCAAGGGATAGCCATAATACATTTTTTTTCCATGTCTTGACATACCGGGAATAGGTGGACCAAATTACATGTTCTAACGAAAATTTTTGACCTCGAACCCCTCCCATAGGCATTTATTTAAATTGGCTTTTGTAGTGCGCTATAGAGCCACTTTGCAAAATGTAAACTTTCAAATGACCTAGACCAAGAGTTGAACCATGAGATTCAAGTTTTTTCGGCGCAAATCAGACTTTTTTGTGCAAACGGAAGCAATTTTTTCTATGGTCAAAAACTGAAAAAAAAACTACGCCTCTTTTGGGCGCTACCGGCTGCTCAATCAACGTTTCACTGGAGCAAAATGTCCCTGAAGTCATTTTGATGGTACATGTGTTGAATGATGATGCGATTGTGGAGGCGAATCGTGGAAAACGCGCCGAGGCTGAAGGTCTTGATGTTTTTGTGTGAGTGTACAGTTGCAATGAATGTTGACATTGTCGTCGCCACGGCAACAGGTAAAAAATAAGCCTTGGACCCCATTGGAACTTTTTGAATCAAGAGGCAAAACAGATTTATGTGTCAAAATTTCAAACATTTTGAAAAAACTAAATTTGAAAATGCCCATCTAAAACTTTGAAATAGTCTGGTAGTGGGCGAACTATGTGTCAATTTGAATCATTAACTTTCAAATGACCTAGACCCTAGAGTTGAACAATGTATTAAAGTTTTGTGCAAATCAACTGTTGTTGTGTGCAAACGGGACAAATTTAATGTTGTCAAAAACGGCCAAAAAAAAGGTCACATTTTGCCGCTACCGCTGCTCGAACAATGTTTCACTGATCAAAAATCCCTGAGGGTCATTTTGAAGGTACATGTGTTGAATGATGTGGAGCGATTTTGAGGCGAATCGGTGAAACGGCCGAGGAGGATCGCTTTCCAACCGACATTATGAAAACTTTTGCTGTTCATTTTTTCCATTTTGCAGTGAAATTTATGGGCTTCCTGTTTGTGCAGAGGTCGGGTAGCCATAATAGAAATTTTTTTCTTGTCTTGACTTTAAGGAACATGTGTACACCCAAATCTCATGGTTTCTACGACAAACTTGACCTCCGGAAAATCCATAGGGTATTATTTTGATGCTTGTAGGTGGCGCTGTCTGTCATTTTTTGAGTCCCAGAAAAATAAACACCCATAAGATCAATTTTTCGCAGGTCTGAGGGTGGGGGCCAAAATTATCAACTTTTCATGCATGTTCAGGGGGGTCAATTTTAAGCTCAAAGGTGCAGGGAAGACAAAAAAGAAAGAAAGAAAGAAAGAAATCGATTTAAACCCGCAAGCGGGCGTCGAACGGGGGCCCTCCTCCGCACCGCCGCAACTCCGCAGCACCGCGCGCACATCCCCGCATACCAGAAACTAGAACGCCGCCGCCGACGCATGCCGCCCCTCACATGCCGTCCCCGCACCAGCGCCACCGCGAACCGCACCAACCCGCCATCATCACCCCGCACGCAATGCGTCGCACCTACACCGTACCGGACCAGCTCCGCTAAAACAGGAGTGGGGCGAGCCGCCGGGTGTGATGATCTTGTGTCCGTTGCCATAGAAGGAAAGTTAGTCAAATTGTAATGAATATGATAAGTAGAGACTGGTTTGGTGGCTCCCCCAGGTAAACTGTGCTTCAGTCTGTAGGGGCGCCTAAATGGGCCAATTTCAAATATTTCACTTTGCCACCTGACCTAAACCCTGGAATTTGATCAATGGTAATTAAAGGGTTGTGCCGAATCAGACTGTGTTTTGTGCAAACGGAGCATAATTAATGTTGTCAAAAAAGAGCCAAAAATACCCTCACATTTTGCGGCTCCGCTTCTCAGAACAACGTTTCAACGGTATCAAATCCCTTGAAGGTAAATTTGGGAAGGTACAGTGTGTTGAGGAGGATGTGGAGCGATTTGGTAGGCGAATCGGTGAAACGGCCGAGGCGGGTTTTGATGTTGGTGGTGAGGTGAATATGTGCAATGGAAAGGGGAGCGTTTGTCGGCGCCACGGCAACTCTGTAGGGGCGCCTTGTGTCAATTTCAAAAATGACTTAAACCCTAGAAACAATGTCAAATTTTGTGCCGCTCCAGCTCGAAACAATTTGTTTCAACTGCAAAAATCGAGGAAGCCAATCAAATTTTGAAGGTTGTCAAAAACGGCCAAAAAAAGGTCCATTTGCCGCTCCGCTGCTCGAACACAACGTTTCACTGATCAAAAATCCCTGATGTCATTTTGAAGGTACATGTGTTGAGATGATGTGGAGCGATTTTGAGGCGAATCGGTGAAACGGCCGAGGAGGAGTCGCTTTCCAACCGACATGTATGAAAACTTTTGCTGTTCATTTTTCCATTTTGCAGTGAAATTTATGGGCTTCCTGTTTGTCAGAGGGCGGGGCCATAATAATATTTTTTTCTTGTCTTGACTTGAGGAACATGTGTACCAAATTTCATGTTTCTACGACAAACTT